GCGGTGGCGGGCACACGGGAGGCTCAGGCCAGCAGCCACTTACCAAACAGGATGAAAACGTCTCAATATTTGAACGACAGCAGGGCTGTAGTGTAACATCCAGCCTGGCTATAAAGGACAACACACTTTTAAGTAAAAAGGCTCAAGCTGTCCAGTGATGTAAGACTACCCAGAGGGCATGGCTAGAAATCCTTTTTGTGGTTTTCTGTTTGTTTGTTTTTCTTACTGTAAGGCATCATTTGGATTGACAGGACACGTGCTTCCCCCACAAATCAATACCAAAACCTAAAGGAACAAATTGATGAATTTCAAGTCCTGCAAAGGATTCTGGGTAGGATGATCACATGATCCGGTCTGCCCTGAATGGTCCCAATATCTGGACTCTCCTTTGAGTCTCAAGAATGTCACAGTTTGCGTGCTAAATGTTGTAGCTGAGCTAGCTCTATGCTGTTTGGCCAGCGGAAAAATGTGAGAGAGTGACTGAGAATGAGAGGTGAGGATAAACTGTGAACTCTTGGCTGACAGGACTGTGACTTGACATGGTTATGTAGGCATGAACAAGACAGATGAAAGTAGAAATGTCCTAAACAGAGAGAACCTAGAAAGGAAGCGGTTAGACTCATTGTTTTGTGAAATTTTCAAACAAAATGTTGATTTTTGAATCAACTTTGTTTGTTCAACTTTGGAACTTTGTTTCAAAAAGTTGAAAGCTAGTGACAAACAATGCCAACAACAAAGACAACAGTAGCTACCATTTAACCAGTGCTCGTTAAGTTCCTGGAACTTTGCTAAGGGGCTAGATTATAATTGGATTTCACCCTTACACCCGCTGTCTGAGGTAAACAAAGTAGCCCCAAGTTAAAGATGAAAAACTCTGGGGTTCAGAGAATTTTAATGACTGAACAAGGAATGAACTGGTAAAATCATGGGCTTTGCAATCAGCCTGCCTGGATGTGAACTGTGGTCCTGCCACGCACTTGCTGTAAACGTCCTTTTGAAGAGGAGAATTTCTAAGACTAAGATGAGAGTATCAAAAGCGTTTGGAGCTAGGAGTAGGAAAGCAGGGAAGGAGTGTCCATTTGCTTCCAGCCCAATAAAACTTTCCATTAATCAACGTATATTGAGTTCCAACCATGTGTGCACAAGGTGCAAGTCCCTCCAGAGAATACAGAGGAAAGTATAAAACATGGTTTTCCACCAAGGAAAATATGATCTTTGGTTGGAGGGGAGGAATTGCTGTCACAGGCACTCTGGCATTGTAAGAAGCATACCTGTCTCGAATTGGATGCTCTGAGAATGATTCCTAGCTTTGCTCATTACAAGTCACATGGCAGGGGTACGTTGCTTACCTATTCAGAGCCTCAGTATCCTCATGTGTAAGCTGGAGATGGAAATAAGGCCAAACTCATAAAACTATGAAAATCAGATAAAGTAATAGAAATGTATCCTAGATACTGTAAAAGGATATTCTGAAATAAACTGTTATTTTTGCAGGAAACAGAGGAAATTAAGGAAGAGATGTAAATACAACAAGCATCCAAGGGAAGCTGATTTCCAAGAGTGTTTGTCGTCTCTCAATGGACTTACAGTGTCTCAGTGCCTAGGTCTCCCATCTACCTCTCTTTGTGCGCGTTCTTTCTCGCTCTCCTTTTTAATTGAGAAACTTCATTTCCTTATTCCCTTTAGCTGTTTCATAGGTCGTTGCTCTTTAGGGATGGAGGTTATTTCTGCTATTCTGTTTCCTTTTCATTCAGCCATGCAATACTTGTTCCCCATCTGGCTAGCTCACTCTGGAAGGGGACAGCAAATTACATATCTCTGGGTGCTTGGTGGAAGTCACTTACCTAGATTGAAATCCCCAATAACGTTTGTGGGGGGTTTTTGTAAATAAAGTTTTATTGGAACACATACACCACATTCTTTTATGTATGTCTGCTTTTGAACTACCATGACAGAATTGTAAATCTCCAATAACACTTTAAATACTTAGTATTAGTCAGGTCCATAAATATGTCTGAGATAACCACCATCATTTCTGTATGAACAGTGATATCCAATAAATTATAGAATCTGTGAATTGCTTGCAATACAAAGTGTTAAAGACAGAAACAATTAGTTGTTTGGATGTGCAGGTCTGAGAGTCTGTATCATATACATATGTGTGTTTAGTGGAATCTTCCTGAGAGGAAATATTTCACTGTCTGTCTTCTTAGAGGCAGTTACACCAGATGATGCCAAATATCACTTCTCATGGTTTTTGTCTTCATAACGGAATAAAAGAATGAGATTTATTGATTATTTTTGTTAAAATTCACTATTTCCTTCAGTAGGATAATAAACCAAGGGTCTACTTGTCAAGATCTGCAAATTTTTCTCTGCTGAAGTTCCTTTCATTCTTATGCTCCAAACATCTATGTGAGTAAATGCCAAAAATGTTGGAGAAAAGGGAAGAGAGGGTTGTGATAAAAGGAGGAATAGTGTCTTTTCAAAAAGAGGACAAGGGAAGAAGAAAACAGCGGGTTTACCACCTTCCATGAACTCTGTGTAAATCATTGACCCAGAGCTACGTGTTTTTATTAATAACAGCTGCAGGCTTTACTGAACACTCGTCCCCTGTCATGTACTGGACTAAACACTTAGAAAGCATTGCTTCATTTTATTCTCAATAACATAATGAAGTTAAGCAATTTGCTCAAGATCATGCATCTAATAACTGAAGAGTTTTGTCAGTGACCAGATGGGTAATTCTGCTTAATTCCATGGTTCTCTATTAGAGACTTCATGTGTCCACAGATACAAACCACATCCTAAGAGATAAAGGAAAATTTTGATGTCCAGGCATCTTAACACCTTTAAAGTATTTCCATATTCGTTTAGATCTTGATCGAGGATGAGTATGGATACTAGTTACTAGACACTTAAATTTCCACAATCTACACACCTTACCATGGCCCACAAGGACCTGCTTGATATGAGCCCCAGCACATCTCAAGTCATAGCCTCTTCCTGTGGTAGATTTTTTTTTTTTTTTTTTTTTTTTGCGGTACGCAAGCATGTGGGATCTTCCTGGACTGGGGCACGAACCCATTTCCCCTGCATCGGCAGGCGGACTCTCAATCACTGTGCCACCAGGGAAGCCCCTGTGGTAGATTTTTAAAAGGCCACAAATACTTTGCAATGCCCCCCATCAAGAAGTGAAGTCATTTTCCTGATCTCTTGATTCTGGGCTGGTCTGTGACTAGTTTGACCAGTAGAATTTGGTGGAAGTGATACTGTGTGTCTTCTGAAGCAGGGCCTCAAGGGACATTGTAGCTTCTCCTTCATTCTCTCAAATACTGCTTCCACATGAAGAAGCTCAAACTAGCCTATGAGAGCCATGGCCCATCCAAGAACCAGTAGCAGCTGCCAGAGCAGTCCCCATCCAGCCCCCAGAATGACTATGGTGGCAAGACATATCTTAAGCCACTAATTTTGGGGGTGGTTTGTTAAGTGGCAACAGATAACTGGGCTACCATCACGCTTCAGGCTCTGGGCTCCAGCCTCTCTGGTCTTCTCTCAGTTCATGGTACATGCCATTGTCTTTCCCACTGCAGGGACTTTGCATATGTGAGCCCTATACATGGAAAAATTCCCCTCCTGTCTTGTCCAAGGTTTACTCCTTGTCATCCTTTAGGCCACAGTTTAAAAGTCACCACTAGAGAAAATCCTTTACTGACCATCTATGTACAGTAGATTTCTTATCCAAATCAGCCCCTTGCTTAGTTTTTTCACTGCATGTATATAACAATCTGCTATTGGTTTGTCATTGCCTATTTTCCTCCTACCCAACTCTAAGCTCCGTGAGAGGAGATAGAGAGAATGTTTGCCCTTTCCTCCATTGCATCCTGGGAGAGTGTCTGGCAGAGGGTCTCATCCACAATCCCTTAGATCCCTTTACCATTTTTGTGCACACATCTGCCCAGAGGCCTGTCACTCTCAACGGCCAGCACTTGCTTCTCTTTTTGGAGGACTGCCCCCAGGGCTGCTGAAAGCCAGCTGGATTTACCTGTAATGAAGAGAACTGAAGACTAGGAATTTGGATAACCCAGGCCAATGACCAGGGAGTGGGGTAGTGCATATAAATACTCCAGCCCCCTTATCCCCGGACAGGACAACTCTGGGGTATGATCTACACTGCCTGCACTACTCACCTATAGGAGTGAGCAAAGTTCCCCTCCATGGGACCATCTTAGCTTATTTTCTTATTGTGTCCAAAGTAAGTGTATACCCTTGATTGGCATCCCTCCTTTCCCTGTCCTGTTTCCCCAATCTCCTGCAGGCTTTAATGTGAACACTCCCTAAAATAAGTCACTTTCACACAAATCCTAGTGTTAGAATCTGCTTCTGGGAAAGTCACCCTAAGACAGTGTGTTGACTGAATAAATTCATTACAGCGATTCTGGATTTCTACATATTGGCTTTTCACATAGACATCGTTAACCCCGCCTCATAATCGGAATCCAGATATATTCTGCAGCATCACTGGCCTTTGCAGCCTTGTTTGTGCAATCATTTCAGTGTTTTACTGCAATTTGCCCTGGCGTTTTATAAAGATGAGTGGGAAGCGCAAAAACGTAAGCAGTGACACTAGCTGCTCAACAACTGAGACAAAGATAAAAAACACTCGGTGTCCTGAAAGCAGGGAATCTTTGATTATATCAGAATCCCCGGTGGACTGAAGCTGGTGGTCTGGATGTTCAATTGTGAAGAGTGAGTACCAAATTAAAGAACATATGGGAAATTCTGGAAATAGATCATCTGGGACTGTCTTGAAAAATGAGGCTTATTGAAAGACATGGAGAAATCTTTAAAAAGTATGGAAATTATGAAAATTGGCACCAAAACCCCTTCCAGGGTTCCAAAGACTAAGAAGTTTATGGAAGCGGAGAGCAGTTATCAGAGATGAGCTTGCCTTGTGTTCCCTTGTCAAGAAGAGAAATGGTCTCATACTTAAGTCTCACCTGACAAACGTTTCATGAAATCCTGTAAAGTCCTTTTGAAGTCACCGTCGCTGTCTCCCGCTGAATTCCCTACGCAGTCGCACGAAACCACCACCAGCAAGTCGTTCTTCTGCATTTTAAAATAAATTTCTTCTTCTTACCGAATGTCACTTTAAGTAAGCTAAAAAAGTAGGTTTTGGAGGCAAGCAATTGTATAAGACATGAGTTCTACTATTTTCATTTAATGTTCAAACCAATTGTTAATGTTTTAAATAATGTTTAAATAATTAAAAACTTTAGTGATGCTTTTGGATTCGTGGAACAAAACTCCTCCATATCACATGCAAAGTTTTGGGTTTCTTCAGTCCTATTCATTCAGCTTTTATATGGATTTTTTTTGGGGAATTAATGTATCATACATGGCAGAAGAAAATTCCACAGTCTGATGGAATAATACAAATCGCAGCTCTGCCACTAATTACGTAACCTCCTGGAAGCTGATCTTTCTAAGACTCAGTTTATTCAGCTGTAAGCATGCTTCCTATGTAGAGCTGTCATGAGGATTAAGTTAGAGAAACTAAATAAAGTATACAGGGCTTAACCTGCATTCGGTGAATCTTGATTCTCTTCCCCATGCTTCCCATCACAAAACAGTTGGTATGAATGATTTTGCAGACTATTGGATTATCTTGGCTTGAAGACCAAGTCTGAACTCCTTAGCATGACACACAAGGCTCCATGTGATCTGACCTCCACGTTTCTCCTGGCTCATCAAACTCCGGCCCCTTTCCCCACCGATCACTCTGATTATAAAGGAGCACATGGAGCTACTTGCACCCAGGAAGTGCCAAGCTCTTCTCCCCTGCAGGTCTTTCCTCTCCAGAATGCCCTCCCCAGGACTTGGTTCAGATGTGTCATCTTCCTGGACTCTTGGAGTCCCCACTTCCTCCCGCCTGGGTAAAGTGTCCTGTATGGCCTCCCAGGACCCTGGGTCTCCCTCTAACATAACACTTGGCACTTAGTTTTTAAAATATCTCTAATGCCAGTTTCCTCCATTAGATTATAACATCCTCACATAAGGGTATTATATTATCTTATACTCACTAGTCACTCTTCTAAGACCTTTCCATATACAACTTATTTTATTATTACAACAACCAACCCTATCAGATAAGTGTTCATAGCTGCCCCATTTTAGAGGTGGGAGAAAGGAAAGAAAAAAGATAAATTACATGATTCTCCCACGACCAAATATCTAGTAAACAACAGAGCCGGCTCTGTTACCTCTGTGCTAAAATCCAGAATACGAGACCAACAAGTACTCAGTAAAAACTGAATAAACAGACAATTCAATCTCAGGGAGGAAAGCAAGATTTGACCAGGAATAGAGATCATTTTAGACCAAAGCCCACACTATCATAGTTTATTTTTAAAAAGCAAAGAACTAGCAAATGAAGCCTAGAGTTTGGAAGAACCTCTTCCAGTATCATGAATTGATTCTGGAATAATGGAGCGTGCACTGCCTTGGGGACCAGGAGACCTGAATCTTAATATCTAGCTGGGTGACATGCCCCTTGATAGACATCAGTCGTCTCATCTGTTAAGTAAGAGCAATGAATGAAGTGGGTTCAGAAGCCTTCCCAAAATGAGATGTTCATGTTATGTGATTCCAACAGAGGAGTCCTACTTTAGGGACAAGGACTTGCTGCCCCTCTGCCTGTCAGTGGTCACCTCCACAACATCATTTTGTCTCAGTGTGAAATCCTGGCTTTGTAAGTTCTAAGCAATGTGATCTTGGAGGTTCCTTAACTATTGCATACATCATTTTTGCATCTCTGTCTCCACTACTGGAAAGAGAACTGACATATTACTGCTTAATTGCCTCGTGTCTACAGAGACTTGTCCCTAGTAAGCATGGCCATGGGAGGGAGAAGGAAATTGGTTTGCAGATTTTTACCAAGCCATGATATCAATACATTATTATTTAAAACAATCCTAGTGAATAGATAGATAGATAGGATCTCAGAGGTAGTATTGTCAGCTCTATTTCCAACCTTTGGGTCAATGATTGATTGAAACAGCTGACAAAGGAGAAAATGACTGCTTGCCATCACAATTTTGAGTTCAAGTTTGAAGTGAATTAACACATGGGATAAATGCAATGTTTATACAAACCATGGCTGGAAACTATTGGCAGAATACAGAGGTCAAGTCCACTTAGCACAGAAACACTGGTAACAATCAAAATGGTCAGTTCAAGTCCACAAAAGTACAAATGCAGGGAAAATTTGGAAGTAAGATTTAATTTCCCTTTAATTTTCTTGGCAGCTGTTTGGCGTGATATGAAGCCTAGTCTAATTTGCATACTCGTAGAGTCACATTTAAATTCCTAGCTCCTGATTTACGTTGTGTGAACTAACCCTCATGGAGTCAGTTCATTTTAGGTGTCTCTTCAGCTGCTCAAGAAAATGAAAAATGAGAGAAGAGGAGAAACAGGAGGGTAAAAAGGAGAATGAGAGGCAGGGGAAGAAAGAGAAAAAATTAATCTCAGATTCAAAGCTCACAGTTTCAATGATAGCCACAGTATCAGACTATTTTGCTCCTCACGATGAATAAAGCCAGAATTTCCTGAGATAAGATGGACTTCATACATCTCCCAATACACACAAATATATGTAAACATAAAATATTTACCTTTCAAGGTATGCTGTGTGTGGTATTAAACTAAGGTATGTAGAGTATTACTAGATAAACACTACAAAGAATTACCAAGCTACTAACATATAATGATTCAATACTCCCTCTGTTTTCAACTCTGTGTGTGTGTGTGTGTCTAAGTTGATGGATAAATGGGATCAGAAATTTGATGAGTCAAATAAAGACCCATCTTTTAGCTTTCATAAACTTTTAGAACCATAGAATATGTCATCTTGAGGTCAAAGCCATCATTTTAATATTAAAGAACTGAAGCTTAGAGAGTTTTGTCTTCAGAGGGGCAGAGACGGCTGGATCTTCAGCTATGGCTCTGCTCCCCTTCATACTGTAGAGTTGTTGCTGGAAGGGGACAGCACATTTCTCATTGTCTCTGCATCCAAATGAGACCATGTGATCACATCAATGGACTGAGTGGGAAAGCCAGAAGTGTCACTTCCAGGCTTTTCAGCCACCTTAACTATCTCAGGTTAAGAAACAGCTGTGCCTTTTTCCAATCTCCCTTTCCTCCATTTCCTGACTAGACACAGAAGTTCCTGAGGCCCTTGAGGATGATGATTCCACAAGATGGGGAAAAAATCTACATCACTGAATCATCAAGTGGCAAACATTACCTGTTAACCAAGAATACCTGTACAGAACAGTTCTGTGAGAAAAAGCAAAACAAAACAAAACTAACTTTATGCTAAACCACTTAAATGGTAGAGACTTTACTTGTTCCTGTAGCTTAATGTTGCCCTAGGTAGCAGAGGTCATTAGTATCAACCAGATTTCCTGATTGGGCACCCAGTATTCCTGCTATTATTCAGATATGCTTGTTGCATCCATGCATCCTTGTGTTTCTGGATGCAACCCAGATTCCACTCCTGGCTGTATCTTTCTCCTCTTTATCCCAGGAACCTAGCACAATGCCAGACTCACAACAGGTTCTCAATAAATATTCATTGAATGAAAGGTCAGCAGTTACCTCAGCTGTAAAATGGGAATTGAATCTTTTAAATACTTGAAATCAAGACACTGGATCCTATGATTCTGTGAGTTCTTAATGGTCTGAAATCTGCAAAATCTCTAGTCCAATAAATCCTCCATATTCTTCTGCTTTGGTTTGTTTTCAGTTTATCCTTAGTTCTGATTTTGTAAAATTCCATTCGTGTGATTTTTTTCTGTTATCTATCTATATTTAATATTGTACAAACTATCTGGCCCTGAATTGAAGTGGGGAGAACATACTTCTCTTTGATTTGCCAAGGTACACCAGAGCAGCTAATGTTTATTAAGGAGTTGATAAGGAAAGCACTCTACTAAACAAATCATTTACATGCAGTGGCTCATTTTTTCAATACCTTTATTATCCCCATTTCATAGGTAAGAAAACATACTTGGCAAGTTTAAGCAGCTTGTCCAATGTCACATACTTAGTAAACAGCAGAATTAGGATAAGAAGAGAGGTTCATCTGATTTAAGAGCCTGGGTTTCCAATCTCCAGGCTCTGCCACCGGGTTGCAAGCAACAGAGAAAGACTCTGTGTAATCTAAGCCAAAAAAGAAATTTGTTAGAAGGACTAAAGATGAGTGCAAGGTTTTCTTCCTCGGCTCCAAGGTGGTGCCAGATCTGTGGTTGTGTATCTTCAGGGAAAGATTCCTACAAGTGAGATTGCTAGATTAAAAGGCAACTACAGTAGGTACACTGAATTAGAGTGGAAAGATGCCTTAAAAATGCTTTAATGTGGGGAAAATGGCAGGTGTCTCATGCAGGCCTGCAAGTGGCCTCACAGATGGCATGACTTTCAGCACTGGGAGTGTGTCGCCAGGCACAACCAGATGAGGCACAAGAATGATTGAATCATAGTATCTGACCTCAGATTCACAGTTTTGTGGAGAGCCAGGGCAAGAAGATTTCTGTGGTATCTCCTGGCTTCTCAGAAAATACCCCAAGCTCCTGGGAAGTAAAGTTTCAGCCGTGTGGCTGACAGGGTCTTGGTGCTCTGGCCGGGTGTCAGGTCTGAGCCTCTGAGGTGGGAGAGCCGAGTTCAGGACACTGGTCCACCAGAGACCTCCCGGTCCCTCATAATATCAATCAACGAAGCTCTCCCAGAGGTCTCCATCTCAACCCCAAAACCCACCTCCACTCAACGACCAGCAAGCTCCAGTGCTGGATACCCTATGCCAAACAACTAGCAAGAGAGGAACACAACACCACCCATTAGCAGAGAGGCTGCCTAAAATCATAATAAGCTCACAGACACCCCAAAACACACCACCGGATGCGGTCCTGCCAACCAGAAAGAAAATATCCAGCCTCATCCACCAGAAAACAGGCACCAGTCCCCCCCACCAGGAAGCCTACACAACCCACTGAACCAACCTTACCCACTGGGGGCAGACACCAAAAGCAATGGGAACTATGAACCTGCAGCCTGTGAAAAGGAGAACCCAAACACTGTAAGTTAAGCAAAATGAGAAGAAAGAG